CAGCTCATCTAATCGGGGGAGTTACATTGCATACTGCATTTGCTCTTCCAATAATGGAATTCGGAGGAAAAATGCCTGAATTATCAGCAGATGTGGCCAATTCGATTCGATGCAAACTGGTTGACTTGAAATTATTGATCATCGATGAAGTGTCTATGATGGGATCAAATACGCTGGCGCGTATCGATACTCGACTGCGGCAAATCATGGGAAGAAACTGCAGCTTCGCAGGGATTTCAGTTATTCTGATAGGTGATTTGAATCAATTGCCACCAGTTGAAGATTGGGCCGTATATCATCCACCCACTTGGGGAGCCTTGAATGCTTTGTCAACTGCTACATTATGGGAAGAATTTCAATTTTTCGAGTTGACGGAAGTGATGAGACAAAGAGATAAGATATTCATTGACGCTCTTAACAATTGAGCACAGGGAATGATGACTGCCGAAAATATATCTTTGATTAAAAGCCGAAAAGTGTCAGCAGATCAAGTACCTGAGAGTGCTATGAGACTGTACTACGAAAATGCGAATGTGGAGAATTACAATAAATCAAAAATCAAAAAATATCCTGGACAAACTCATGAAGCGGTTGCTCATGATAATTTTTTGGATGATGCATCTGAATCTTTCAAAAATAGAATTCTCAAATCTCTCAGGACAGAAAACAACGAAAAAAAAAACAAGTTAAATTATTGAAATATAAGATTAAGCTTAAACTTGGAATCCAATACATGGTTACATCAAACATCGACATTCCAGGCGGTATTGTCAACGGCGCTTGTGGAACATTAGAGAAAATTACTTTCACTGATGAACAGAAACCCGATAAATTATGGATAAATTTCGAAAACCCCTTGATCGGCATGAAGCAGAGAAATCCACTCTTACATTATACGATGGAGAACAATATCGATCAACATTTGACACCCATTGAAAGAATACATCTCAATATCTATAACAGTAAGGGTAGTATTTACCAAGTGGTACGGACGCAGTTCCCAATTATTTCTGCAGAAGCAGTGACTATACATAAGAGTCAAGGACAAACATATAACGAAGTTTGCATCAATCTTACATCTAGTTCTCGACCATTGACTCGAGCACTCCTCTATGTGGCCTTAAGCAGAGTATGCAGTTTGAAGAATCTGTAAATTTTGGGAACATTTCATCCACCTGCACGACCATCCGTAGGCGATCCATTGACTCAAGAATATGGAAGACTCAACAAAAGACAGTTAAGACTATCATACATCAATGAACTCAATACCGATGGCCTAAAAATTATTTATCAGAACATACGATCGTTCAACAAAAATCTTAAACATCTAGAATATAACAGATGGTACAAACAAGCCGATTGTATCATATTATCTGAGTCATTCACTAAACTTGACGATGATATCATGCTTAATGATTTTACTTTGATATTTCGAAGTGATACACCTATCAAATCACCCGCTAGAGGTATCCTGATATTCATAAAAAAAAGATTCAAATATCGTATGTTCTATTTTAAAGCATATCAAACTGGAAGGACAAAACAAATCTCATTTAGATTTAATTCTTTTCAAATGTGATCGTGTGGAAATACTAACAGGATATAAGTCACCGTCTTTCAACTTAACATCCATGGAAAATCTAAATAATTTGCTGAAAGTAACAAACCTAGATGCAAGAAGAATATTGATAGGTGATTTCAATATTGATTTGTTCCTTCCTAATAATGCATTTGCACAGGCTTTGAATCGTTATAATTTTATACGTGGCATACCACCTCAAACATCAACAACCGATTTTAACACGCAAATAGATATTATATTTATCAGCAATGTAGAGCATTATCTTTCTGGAGCGTATCAAACCTACTTTTCGGATCATATTAGGTGTACAAATTAATAAGGTGCTTTTTTTTCATGAAAATCAGAGTTTATTATAAAAAAACAGAAAGACATTTACCGGTTGAAATATTCCCCATTATTTTCGATGACTTTACTCCACCTCACTGGCAACTAACAAATTCCTTCGCGAAAGAAACCTGGCGGTTTTGACTAAATAAATTCATCGATGCTTTTTCGGACCTCGTCGATTGTTTTGAAGTGCTCATCAGCTAGGTGGTGTTGAAGAGCCCGAAATAGGTGGTAGTCAGATGGGGCGAGATCAGGCGAGTAAGCCGCGTGAGGGAGAACCTCCCATCCTAATTCACAGATAATATCCTTAGTCGCTTTGGCGACATGCGGTCGAGCGTTGTCATATTGGAGAATCATTTGTCTGTTTCCGCTGCCAATATATGGCCTATTTTGCTCCAATGCATCATTCAAATGAATAAGCTGTTGTTGATAAACCTTCGCAGTAACAGTTTGGCCAGGTTTAAGTAGCTCATAATATATCACACCCTTCATATCCCACCAGATACTCAGCATCAGTTTTCTCGCATAGACATTGGGTTTCGGAGTCAACGTCGATGGTTCGCTGGGATTCACCCACGATTTTTTGCGTTTAGGGTTGTCGTATAACACCCACTATTCATCGCCCGTAATGATTTTGTATAAAAAATCTCTTCTTTTAAATCGAGTGAACAGAAATAGCGCCGTCTCCAGTCGTCGCTCCTTATTTTCGGGGCTCAGATCATGANGTTTTCTCGCATAGACATTGGGTTTCGGAGTCAACGTCGATGGTTCGCTGGGATTCACCCACGATTTTTTGCGTTTAGGGTTGTCGTATAACACCCACTATTCATCGCCCGTAATGATTTTGTATAAAAAATCTCTTCTTTTAAATCGAGTGAACAGAAATAGCGCCGTCTCCAGTCGTCGCTCCTTATTTTCGGGGCTCAGATCATGAGGAACCCATCTACCCTCCTTTTGAATTTTGCCAAGTTGATGTAGGCGATGAAAAATACATTGTTGAGTCACTCCTCTGTTTGGCTTTGAGCAGAATTTTCAGCCAAAAGTTGTTCGAGTTCTTCATCGCCGAATTTTTGCGGTTGACCCGGCCGTTCTCGATCCGAAAGATCGAAATCTCCGTCTCTAAACCTCTGGTACCACTTTTTACACGTTTTATGTGTTACAGCGTTTTTTCCAAGAGCACTACAAATCATTCGAGTAGCCTCGGCGGCATTTTTCTTTAATTGAAATGCAAAAAGAATGCAGTGCCTCGACTGTTGCTTATCGACAGACATCGTGTTTACTACTATTTTTTAAGGTTATGTAAGAAGTATTTACTGCTTCGGTAACTGAATACTACCAACATACAAAATATTGAAATATTAAGTTTTTGGACGCAATTATAAACCGCGAAATATAGGGGTACCTTATTAATTTGTACACCTAATAAACCGGTTTTCACTGCATTATCCAATCAGACAGATAAAATCAATCACTCGAATATTCGCGAAATGAGTACAACTAATGTTGAAACAAATCAGAAAAGTGAATCAGAAATCAAGTCAGCTGATCATCAAGCGTCGAAGAAGCCTACCATAATCTCAGATACAATCCTTCCAAAGAGGAAACGATTACACATCAGTAACCATTAAAATTCAAAAGCATTGGTGAAAACTACAAAAACATTAATGAACGGGAATCTATCCGGTATCATTCAATGAAGAAATAATTCATTCGACTTACGTAATACGTGCGGCTTCGATAGCTTGATGCAGATCTTACTTTCAGCATATGAAACTAACTCAATTCTCAAGAATCGGATAGATATTTCAGAACAAAAAACCTTGAAATCCATAAAAGAACTACATCTGAAAGGCGATAATGATGATTCTTCAATTTATGAATTAAGATTAGATATTTTCCTAGAACATGAAGAGTATTTCATTGATAGAAATCAGTCATATGGAAACAATGTCGTCTTAGATGCTGCGAAAAATATAACCGACTTGAGTACTAAAATATTCCAAGAAGAACAGAGTTATTCTATACATATGAATTGTCCTGTCTGTCCTAATAGGATTTTACATGAATTGATAATTGTACCAGATACTGATGCAATGTTCGAATCTGGTTACAGCCAATTCCTCACTATTTTGAATATCACAATTGAAAGGATTGAAAATCAAATCCTCATATGGGAATCATAACAGTGTGACTCAATCTGTTATATTTCATGAATCTCTTTTTATCGAATGTCCTTCATATTATAATTTGAGAGTGTCACTGAATAGTTCACAAGAAGTATTACATATAAATGACATAAAATATTCTCTAGCTGGGGTAGTGAATTTCATTAACCCTGGAGTCATTAATGATATTGGTCATTATAATGCTTATATTTTCAAATGTAATCAATGGAGGAAAGTTGATGATCTATTGCCGAATCAAATTTTTACAATTAATTGTACAGAAGAGATGTGTCCACATTTATGTTTTTAAATGAAATGTCATCATTCCACTCTTTCGTGATGTAAAAAGACCAAAAACACCACTTGTATAAATTTACATTTGCTTGTAAAAATGAATTGTAAACATTATTTTCGTGTCACGGGATCTGAAAAACCTCATTTTCGTAGCGCTGCGCGGCACGAAATTGGCGTTTTGCAGGTCTCTCGACACGAAAATTAATATACCGTCAGTGTGGGGGTTATGGAACACTTTACGAGTAGAATCCACGGTGAACGCTGTGATACATGATTTTATCTATAATTTTAGGATTTTAACTTTTGCAACAGCTAAAACAATATCTCTCCTTCAATTGAAACATTTTTTCATATTTATGGGGTCAATAGATTAATTAATATTCAGGAAAAGGTGACGCCCGGCAAATGCTTCACTTATGGAACCCCTGAAAACAAAATGTCCCCCTTATGGAACCCTCAAAGGTACCAGTTGTGGCACAGGGAGATTCATATGAGGTTATAGATTTCTCTAGGCTTGGAAGTTCATATAAATACTTTATTCCAAGAAAGTAATGTAATGAGAAGAACAAATATAATAATCGTAATGGGAAATCCATGTTCACTCATGTAAAATATCCACCTAACTAACTGACCTTCCTCTTCATCACCAATAATACACTTCGGCCCTCTTCGCTCTTTCTTAGGTTTCGAGATGCCTCTCTTCTTGTAAGATAATGTGGTTTTTGGAATCTTATATTTTTTACTAATGGAACAAAGTGATTTTCCTTCTTTCACCTCTGTGAGTGGCTTCTGCAATATATCTCCTGTGTATTTCTCAGTCACTGCCTGCTTCTTCTTATTTATTTTACTCCTAATGGAAAAAATATAAAGGGAATTAGTATAAATTAAAGAGGAATTATTCTCAGAGGACGAAAAGAGGTTGAAATATTTAATTCCAGTGGAAATTACATTTTCAAGAGACGTTCGAAGAGAATTTATGAGAGGGTAGTTTTTTGACAGGCGGGGCGAACCCCCTAACTGCCTCAAGACCGTGTTGTGGTGTCTCAATAACGGAACCCCATTCTCTTCAATTGAATTAATCATTTTTCTAATTTTTTTCTATTAAATCATCAAGAATAATTCATCTAATGTCACTACAAACACTTTTTAATTCACCAAATACTCACATTTTGGGAGAAAAGTCTCATTGAACACGGCGATGCACTTGCCACGCGAGTGAAACCCAACAACTCAATTCACACATATGAGAGGGAGTCACTCGCTCGCCACTTTTAACGNTCCAACAACTCAATTCACACATATGAGACGGAGTCACTCGCTCGCCACTTTTAACGGATTTATTTAAAATGGTTTTCATTGACTCACCTCGACCAAACCGAATCCTAGGGAAAGATAAGATACCATCCTACCATCGAGACGGAATTCCCTATAGTTTTAACACGGTTGGGACTTTATTTTCTTAATAAATGCTTCAAAGTGTTCCAGTACCCCCACATGTTCCATAACCCCCACACTGACGGTACACACCTCGCCATGGAAAACATATCGCCCTCCCCCACGTGCTTGCCATCGTGATGTGAAAAGACAAAAAACACCACTTATATAAATTTACATAGACTGTTATGATTTTAATTAAGAAATGGATTGTAAAAATGAATTGCAAATATTATTTTCGTGTCACAGGACCTGAAAAACCCCATTTTCGTGGCACTGCGCAGCATGAAATTGGCGTTTTGCAGGTCCCTCGACACGAACATTAATATACACACCTCGCCATAGAAAACATATCGCCCTCCCCCACTTGCTAGCCATCCTCGCCTGCGGCTCGGAAGGGAATCTTGCATGTGGGGGACGGTGATCTGTTTCCAAGGCTCGGGCATGTAATGTACTATATCACGTCTAATAATGGATTCTGTCGATCCACAAGAATTTTTCAAGCGTTTCATTTTTTGGATCATTCTAACGGCCTAGCACATTGCATTTATTCACGATGCAGCATGGTCCTCCTTCTGTGAATCCCTCGAACGGAGCGTTTCTTTTATTTAAATTTTTCCACCGACCCTCCTCTTCAGTGCCCGTGGTTTTACTCAACTTTGTGTTACTGGTGACAAGTTAATGCCAATAGAGGCAATGAGGGGAAAGTGAGTAACGAGAGATCGATTCGTTGACATATCCTTTAAAACTTGGGAAAGGAGGAATTGAGAAAGGAAGGGTTGTGATATTCACCTCTGTCGACTTTTTTTCTCGCGATTTTGACGGTGCGCTACCACGCGGGGCTTTGGAATGCTTACCTCACAGGTTGCCCTGAAATTTCATTTTTTCTAACTTCCCGACCTAGGATGCGATGCAATGACGCATCATCAAGAACAACAATGGAAAAAATAACAGAGTGAGACTTCGTTCGTCTACTCATCATGTGGAATAACTGCAACCTAATCGAGAGGTGAGTATCACTTCAATTTCATCAACGTTCAACTAATATTTCCCAGTAAAGGTTGATTGACTGTTCGTTATTCCCAGGTGACTTCCACTTGGATTAGTAATCAATCACCGAGGTTGTACCCCTCAGACCGACCAGAAATCTGATAAGTATCCGGATGATAAGATGATTGGAGTATCGCAAACTTGAGAAGAAGCTTCCAAATTCTACAGACAAAGGTGACAAGGAATTTTAGGCCAGACCCTTCACTTTGATCGAACCAGCAAACTTGAGAAGAAGCTTCCAAATTCTACAGATAAAGGTGACAAGGAACTTTAGGCCAGACCCTTCACTTTGATCGAACCAGAATCGTCAAACATACTAATCAAACTTTTCAACTTAAGGGACAATTCGACCCCTGGATTGCTAATGACCAAGATCCACCCTTTGAATTGAAGCCTTGAGAGACTTCTCATTAACCACAATATAAACACATCGACTCACAAAGAACACTAGGGAGGTGTTCCCCTCCGATTGTGATCAAACTCATGTATGTTGTAGAGGACTCAAAACTAAAGGACACGTATTGTTTTTTATCGGTTAATACGCGGCTTTAGGGGGGGAAACCATGGTCAGAAGGTGACCATCTTCGGGAGTGATCTTTCAATCCCACCTATAAGGAGGGTGTTTTTACAAATGTTCATCACGGTAATGAATAGCTTGTGAGAAGTTAAAAAAATCACAATTGATAGTTCCTCCGGGGGTTAAAATTGGGGGGGTAAACAACCCCGTAAAAATTTTGTTTTTCAAAAAATATATTTTTATATGGCTCATAATTTAATAAAACCAATTGCATTTGAAAGAGCATGGAAAAATGCAGAATACCTGTTTTTGGATTTTCCCCGGAACTGACGTTTTGTGGGGTGAAAAAAAAATTTCTCGGAAATATCACCCATCACAGTGGTGAAGTTTTTTAGCCATTTCATCAAGGTAATATACAGCTGGTGAGAAATTATGAAAATCATAATTGATAGTTCATCCCCGGGTTGAAATTTGACGGGTAAACTACCCCTATAAAAATTTCGTTTTTCAAAAAAAAAAAATATGGCTCAGAATTTTATAAAACCATTTGCGTTTGAAAGAACATGGAAAAATGCAGAATACGTGTTTTTGGGTTTTCGCCAGAACTAAAATTTTCTGGGATAAAAAAAAATGATTTCTAGGAAATATCACCCATCACAGTGGTGGAGTTATTCATTCATTCCATCGAAGAAGAAAATAGCTTGTGAGCGATTATGATAATCACAATTGATAGTTCCTCTGGGAGTTTTCATTTGAAGGGGGGGGGGGGAGATAAACTAACCCTGTGAAAATATTTTTAAAAAAAATTAGAGGTCAGGATTTCATGAAAATGACTGCATTGGGAAGAACATGGAAAAATGCGGAATACCTTTTTTTTTTTAATTTTCCCCTGAACTCAAATTTTCTGGGGTAGAAGAAATAATTTCGGGGAGAACTGTGAGTTATCCAAATGATTTAGTTTTTATTGTAGAAACTATTGTAAAATATCGACAATTTCACTGGCTGAATACATCGTGATGTGTTCAATGAAATAACAAGTGATACTAACTTGATTCGGGTGACTTTCCACCAATTAGAATAAACGAATCCTCGAAGGAGTAGGGAAATGTTTTGTTTATTGTTTACGTTTGATAATTCCGGTGTGTAAACAGATCAATGGAACAATTATACCAAGATGCGCCAAGGATGTTTGAATCTTGAATTCGATTACAGGACTCGTTTTTGTGGCATTTTTCGAGTAAAATGAGATGAAATTAAATGAATGACGAGGTTTCTAAAAACAACTCATCAAGATGAACAAGTTTCATTGCGATAAAAAATGCGGTTGCCATTGGAAAAAAGCACTTTGTGCTTGCAGCTTGCAAGCGTGAGCTTGAAAGCTCAAAATAATGACAACATCGGATGTCCTCCTCGAAACCCTGCAATTTTTTTATCAAACATTTTTTTGTTACCCGCCCCCCTTGAGAGATATTTAGCCGCATCTTCTCAAATGGGACACCCTGTATATATTTTATTATGGATTATAATCGGTACAGAAATGATATTCATCAAAAAAATGGTGCAGGCAGACAGACTTTCTGCACCACGAGCATCTAACTACTGCAACATTGGAACAACCATCAACGTCACATTGTGGATTAGAAGATTGTCCAAATGCAAAATCAGCAGGATTATCAAATTCCTCTGGTTTTTTAGCAATGTAGCCACTTTGGAACCAAGCATAACGAAATAGATTTTGATACCTTGGTGACGATAATTGATTATGAACTAAAGATTGCAATTTTATTACATTATTTCGTGCATGTAAATTGATGTCATGATTCAAGAGAACGGCCGTATCTGAAAAATGACGGACATAATTTTTCCAAATTCTGAAACCGTATACATCAAGAGGTTGAATTTTCCCGGTCGTCCCTTTCGGAATCAGCATAGTTAATAATTCTTTATTCCGAGGAGTTGCCTCTTCTACCACTCGAAAGCAATGTCCACTCCATGAATCGATCAACAGTAGACTTTTTGGTCCCACGTGTGGAAAGAATACTTCTTCCAACCAAATTTTGAAGTGCTCTGGAATGTTTGGAATACGATGAACATTGCAATCAGTGTAAATAACTTGTCACATCTTATTATACATTAAAAATATCATCTTACCAGAAGTCAGTTTTCCCGATTTTGAAGCCGTTAGATAGATAGATAGATAGATAGATAGATAGATTTATTGCATATGGGACATTCCATGTCAACTCAGCCACACCGGATTTTTTTTTGTCTGGGAAAAATCATTGAGTAGGTGCATTTTGAACTACCACATATAGACAGTGATCATGCAAAATTTCATTGCCCGGCCACTTTTTGTTTCTGAGATAATCATTATGAAATTTGAAATTTTCAAAAAATCATTACTTCTGAATGGAGCATCCGATTTTGATAAATAAAAAAAGAAAATTTTCGTTTTTTCTCATACTTCAAGATAAAAAATACTTCAGAGCCGTCAAGAAGTTCCTAGACCGATTTTGTCGAGAATTTTTCGCGTTTTCATTTTTTTTTTCACTCTAGGGGCGCTCGATATTCGATCGAAATATTTTTTTTATGATAGAGGATGTCCTTATATGATATGAAAAAATACGCCATGATGGAAGAGCGAAGCAATGCACCGGAAAATTTTTTTTTTTCGAAATTTTTGGGTTTTTTCAGTTTTTAGGGGGAATCTATCGGTTTTTTTTCAAAGAAATGAGTCTGTCAACCATTATTCTTCGTTCGTATATGATAACATAAGACTACACCATCATGTAACGGAGAAAGAGTGCGCCGAAAAAAAAATTTTTCGTCGAAATTTTTACTGAAAGGGTAGATAGTTGAATTGAACATTATCATCATCGGAAGTGTGCTAAATTATGATCAAACAAATGAGAGGAAGAAACAAACGGAATCAATTGATTGATTTATCATCATCAGTCGGTTNCGTGGTATGTGTTTGTACGTATCATCAAAATTGCAAATTGATGCTAGTGGCAATTAATATTGCGTCTCTAACTCAAGATTCCCCCTGTCCACTCAGAGATTACAAAGATTGTCTAGCCAAATTGATGTGTACAAATCCAACCGCGGCCTGTCATCTGGATGAATGTAACGATTGTCCAGGAGTGAAATCATTATCATGTGAAATGAAGAAACTTCTCTCTAATTCTGTCGTGGAAATGGTCGAATTTCGCGTGTGGCAAAGTACTAACAGGTGTGCCTTGCAGACACAGACCCTCCCGATGGATAAATTCGTTGATCTTCTAATAGAACAATTGATAGTATTGAAGCCCCATCACTTCATCGCTAAAGAACAATCGGCTTTTGTCAAATAGCGAAAAGAGAATTTGGATAATGGAGAAGTACTAGTGCATTGTGATTTTTCGAAAAATTACGCTTTTGTGGCTCAAGATGCTGCTGAATCCTTCCACTATAATAATGACCAGTATACAGTTCACCCCGTTGTTTACTATTATCGCGAAAAAAATGAAACGATACTGCCGCTGTTTATTTGATGCAGAAGATTTTAATACAGCATGTGAAAGAACTGTGAAAGCGTGGAGAAAATTATCTATGTCACCGATGGAGCTGCACAACATTACAAGAATCGTTTTCAGATCACGAATCTCTTGCATCACAAGACTCATTTTGGCATAGATGCGGAAGCCCATTTTCATGCAAGCGCGCACGGTAAAGGAGCTTGTGACGGAGCAGGAGCTGTCTTTTAGAGAGAAGCGAGACGTAAGAGCTTGTAAATCGTTAATGGTGAACCAATCCTCACGCCAGATGCTTTGTTTCGATGGTCAAAAGAGAATTTTGAAGGAATTGATGTTTTTTTTTACCAAGGCAGAACACGAGAATATCAAAACTGAGTTGAGAGAGAGATTTGATAGTGCCAAAGCTATTCCAGCCATTCAAAAATACCATTGTTTTATTCCAATATCGGGAGAGCAATTGTTAATTAAACGATATTCGGCTTCAGCTAACGAGGTTTTCCCAAAGCAAAAACAAACAACAACAAAATGAAAAACCCGCAGAAGACAGTAATCGTGATGTAAATAATTCATCAGTGCATGTTGGAACTTGTCGTCGAAGAGAGTGGAGAATTTCTCCGTATTGTAAAAATGTAAAAATGTGAAAATATAAAATTCTGTCGTTATAGAAGAATAAAAATTGTTTTTTTCCCATACTTTTTCGTTAGTGGAAAGCACAGTGTGTTGGTGAGAAAAGATTTATAATCGTATCAATAATCTATTCTATCCAGCAGAACAGAAAATGTCTATTGACAAACCCCTTTTTCAGTCAGAATAATGCAACTCTCCTAAACGACAGACAAACGTAAAAATTTCGAAGAAAATTTTTTTTCGGAGCATTCTTTCTCTCTTACATGATGGCGTACTCTTTTGTCATCATATATGAATAAAGAATAATAGTTCACAGACTGATTTCTTTGAAAAAAAACCGATGGATCTCCCCTAAAAACTGAAAAACCCAAAAATTTCGAAAACAAAACATTTTTTCTGGTGCATTCGTTCGCTCTTCCATTATGGCGTATTTTTTTCATATCATATAAGGACATCCTCTATCATAAAAAAAATATTTCGATCGAATATCCAGTGGCCCTAAAGTGAAAAAAAAATGAAAACGCGAAAAATTCTCGAAAAACCGGTCTAGGAGCTTCTTGACGGCTCTGAAGTATTTTTTATCTTGAAGTACGAGAAAAAAAGAAAATTTTCTTTTTTTATTTATTAANTTTCGGCGAGAGTTAAATAAAATCCGATAGAGAGCCGGAATTCGGGGAAAGGGTAGAGAAGTTCACAAAATAATGTCTGACACAGTGCGCGTTGGTAGAGTCACAATAAACCTGTATTTTTCTGTGAAAACACAGAACTCAGTCGAAAAATATTTACAAAAAGATACTCACTGTCAATTAATAATTGACGCGAGAGACGTTAGAGAATTTTCACGGTTGAGATGTTCACAATAATTAACGATTTAATCGCGTAGAGAATTGCACGATGCACGCTTGTCACAAGGTGATTAGAGAAGACGGCGGAAGTGACGAGATGGGCCAAGTGTCGCGGCAGGTGTCGTCGGTCCCAATTAATTGGACACGGTCGGTAACCCAGGTCCGTGTCCAGGAGGTGCTGCCGTTCGTGGTCAGCGGACCAACCTGCCGTGACGTGAGGCTGAAGCCTCAACATTCTCCCCCCGTCAGCAACTTGTTGGTGACCAGGTTCTCGAGAAAGCCATAATAGAGCCTGAAACACTAAACAGAGNTTCTGGGTGCAGGTTAGAGAACTTCAATCTCCCGCCCACTCGGAGAACACATTGATGGTCTATGAAGGCAGTCAGTTTGGTCAACGGATGAGACCTTCCAAGTTGTTGACCACGATAGATCATGCTGCACTCNACTGGCGGGAACCTCTCATCGGAGAGCAGAACCATTGAGCCGATGCGAATGTCGTTGGACGGATGATGCCACTTGGAGATGGACTGAAGCTGCTGCAGGTATCCTGTAGACCACTGCTTCCAGAAATACTGCAGCCTCTGCTGAATCAGTTGCCATCTTGAGAGCCGTCCAGGGAAGGTTCCGGTAGAGCGATTGGAGCTTCTCCAATCAAAAAATGGTCCGGAGTGAGACACAACACGTCGTCGGGGTCTTCAGAGAGAGCCTGTAGAGGTCAGGAGTTGAGCACCGCTTCAATCTGGTTAAACAGCGTAGAGAGTTCCTCGAACGTCAGTNTGAGCCAACGAGGAATGGAGATATTTTCGACCTGAGACAGCACCTTACGAAATTGGGTCCACTTATCCGAGATTTGTGGTAAAAGCGCATCATCCCAGTCCAGCTTCTCAACCCAGAGACGCTGTAGGAGTGCTTTTGCCCTAATCACCACAGGAGAAAGTAGACCTAGAGGGTCGAACAACTGAGCTATCTCAGACAACATATTCCTCTTCGTCACCTTTGAGTTGGCCGGAAGGTGGATTGAGAACTTGAATTGGTCTGTGTTTGGATCCCANAGGAGTTGAGCACCGCTTCAATCTGGTTAAACAGCGTAGAGAGTTCCTCGAACGTCAGTGTAGTATCCCGAATCGTTCGAGAGAGATGATACTTCACTGATTTTACCGCTGCTTCCCATTTTCCNACTAGAGGGAAACCACCAGCTAAGCAAAGATTCCTCACTTGCTTGGAGACTTCTAGAAGTTCACTCTCCTCTTCAGCACCACCACAGATGTCATCCACGTATCTTCCACTGGTCAACGGAGAGATTGCTAGAGGAAACCGATGTCCGTCGTCCGCGACCAGTTGGTTGAGAACTCTACAGGCTAAGAATGGGGCCGTTTTAGTCCCGTAGGTCACGGTGGTGAGCTGGTAGGTGTTGATCTGACCTTGAGAATCCTGCCACAGAATCTGTTGAAGAGGCCAGTCCTTATGATGCACCTTGATTTGACGGAACATCTTCGTGATGTCTGTCATGAAAATGTACTTGCTCCGCCTGGATGAGAGCAGCACGTCAAAGATATTCTTCTGCAGTTTGGCTCCAGTGTGTTGGATGTCATTGAGAGACACCCCTGAACTGGTCTTACTGGAACCGTTGAAAACTACCCTCAGCTTCGTTGTTTCACTACTTTCCCTGAGAACACCATGATGAGGAAAGTAGTACATAGGAGTTGACGAATGAGCTTGCCTCTGAGCAGAACACCGAGTGGAGACACAAGCCGACTGCTTCTCTTCAGGGATCCTCAACCCTCCTGAAGCCGAAGCCCCATATGCCAAGGTCATCCCCTCAGATCTACAGCCGAACTTCACGCTCCCGGCATTCCCCGAACCAGTTAAGGCTGGAACAGCCCAGCAGTTAAGGCTGGAACACACCATGTGTCCCAGATCTTCGTACTCCTTGAGAAAAACACTATATAGCTGAAGGGTCCGTTGATCCCTCTCCATTCTCCCGAACAGGCTGGAGAGACATGCTTTAGCCCGATCATAAGAGTCGCCAAGCTCTGTCGGAGAACGTGCAAGAGGCAGGCGAACCACATAGCGCCCTGTCTCGTGAATGGGTGCGCTGGAAAAACTCCTCACATTCTGCCTCTTCTTTCGTGAGATCACTATCCTCGGCTTTTGGGACCTCCTCCTGCAGCCAGAACGAAGTGAGAAGGTCGTAGAGTTCCTCGTTGCTGACTGCGATGTGATTAGAGCTGGCCACCATTGGAATCACCGCTGAAGTAGGTCCTAGTACCACCCAACCGAAGATAGTGTGCATTGCTATAGGGGAGTCTGAAGGCCCCTTGATGATCTGTGGCTCCACAATTGATCCGAAGAAATCCGCGCCAATGAGAAGGTCAATAGGTCTTGGCTCCATGTATTCCGGATCAGCTAACTTCAGTCCCTCGAGATGGCCCCAAGCTTGAGTATCCGAGACTGAGAACGACGTCAACGATGATGTGAGGTGGTCAAGAATGTAGGCCTTAATCTGAAGATGTTTGTCTGAGTGCAGAGACTTCAGACAGAACTGAGAGAATTCCTTTGAGAATGACCTTGATCTACCAATACCAACGACAGGTAGCAAAGCTGGAGACTTCAACAAACCTAGCTTTACCGCAAGACTATCTGTAACAAATGATAACTCAGATCCAGGATTCAACAGCATTCGAACTTCACAGCAACAGCCATTCTCTGAAATAAGAGAAGCTAGCGCTGTTGCGAGAAGAACACCTGGTCTGAGTTGAGATGACGATTCATGAACTGGTAATGCTACAGATGGAGAATCACTTGACAGCGACGGCCGTAGAGAACGTTCTGAAGTTACCGGAGCCGCTGTCGTTGAAGTCGTTGGTTGAGAAGATCACTGCTGCACTGATGAAGGCCCCGGAACAGCGGACTGTATAGGACGAGTACCAGACTGAGACCACTGACCTTGAGACTTCAACTGGTCTGGTTGAGATGTCTCCAGAGGACCATTCTGAGGACGTGTGATGTGGATCATCGAGTGGTGAAGCTTGTGAGACACAACGCACGTCTTCGTGGTCCTACAGACACGAATGGAGTGCTTCCCCAAGCAGTTGAAGCAGAGGTACTTCTTTTCGACGAACTCCTTCCTCTTTTCCGGCGACAACTGCTTGAATTTGGGGCACTTATCGATGAAATGCTCATCTTCACACATGGAGCAGGCATTGGCGGTCATGTCTGCCCATGACTGCGAACTCGACCCGCGTGCCTGTGGAACTGCACTGCCAGTTGAGACATTCAGCACCTTTGCTGGCTTTGCTCTGGGTGGTTGAGAGGGCACACTCGAAGTTGGCGTCTTGGGAGCATGCAGAGGATGCAGCTCAATTCTCTCCCTAGCTCTTGCTCTGCTCAACATGAACTCCCTGAGTTCCGCGTACGTTGGAAAGGTGGTGGTGGATCCGATCTTAACTTCCCACGCCTCCAACGTCTTAACATCCAACCGGCTTGAGATGATATGCACCAAGACGTCGTCCCAGTGCTCGACAGGGCGCCCCAACGACTTCAGGGCGTTGAGCGCTTCGGTGGTGGAGTTGAGGAGAGCATTAAACTCCTTGACCGTACGGTTGACGATCCTCGGAGTGGAGAACAACCTTTCCAGCTGGGTAGAGATGAGGAGACGTCCATTGTCATACCTCGCGATAAGCATATCCCAGGCTGGAATGAATGAGTCTTGAGCTACTGGCAGAGTTGAGATTAACTGTTTTGGCTCACCAGCAAGAGAAGTCAAGACATAATGAAATTTCTCGACCGTAGAGAGGTTATTGTTGCCGACGACCATCGAGAGGAAAAGATCTTTGAATGGTGTCCACTCGGAGAAGTCCCCTGAGAAGGTAGGCAGCGAGATCTTCGGCAACTGCCTTTGAGTCACCTGAGCAGAAGTCCACGGTCTCATCAATGGACTTGATTAGTCCAATGAACGACGTTCGAGCCGTGGAGTATCGCTGCAGACAGATATCATATACCCCCTGATTCACGTAATCGTGCTCGAGCACCTCCACGCTATCCTTACCAGTGAGCAGTCTCACGTGCTGGTCCTCGAATTGGCTCCAATAATTCTCCAAAATATCCATCTTCGACTGCAACTCCGTGACCGAGAGCTCTTTCACTGCCGCTGACAATGATTCCGTATAGAGAGACTCAATAAACTTTGCCCTACTGGCTTGAATAAATATTCTCCCTGCGAAAGACATGCTCACCCGATAGCAAATACAAATTCAGCAAGCAGAGAAAGCACCAAACAAAAAAAATCGTAGAGAACGCAACAGTGGAGAAAGCACAGCCAATAGCGGAACAAAATTGAAATCAAGCAAAACCAGCAGCAAAGTTCAGGGAAAATCAGTAGCGAAAAATAATAATAATAATTGACTTCCCTGTGAGAAGGTTCGATGGCAGCAGTGATGGTCGTAGAACTTCAGCAAACAGCGAGAAAAACAAAAAAATCTGCTTCTGAAGTGCTGGGGAAAATATCAGGGCGCCCCAGGTTGAGTGTCACTGCTGGAGTCCCATAATTCAGTGGCGCGCACAAATGTCAAAAGTCTGAGATGAGCACCACTGCACTGCTACGTCACGCGGGGGAGGAGCCACGTGGGAGGAGTCGATGGGCGGACTCGGTGGGTGGAGCAAAGGAGGTGGAACCGACACACGAATTCCCGCACTTTTCCACCGACACCACATGCACTAACGTTTCACCAAAAACCCAATGTTCACTTTTCCCGATTTATCCGGCTCGAAGGACCAAATGTTTCGGCGAGAGTTAAACAAAATCCGATAGAGAGCCGGGATTCAGGGAAAGGGTAGAGAAGTTCACGAAATAATGTCTGACACAGTGCGCGTGGGTAGAGTCACAATAAACCTGTATTTTTCTGTTAAAACACAGAACTCAGTCAAAAAATATTTACAAAAAGATAATCACTGTCAATTAATAATTGACGCGAGAGACGTTAGAGAATTTTCACGGTTGAGATGTTCACAATAATTAACGATTTAATTGCGTAGAGAATTACACGATGCACGCTTGTCACAAGGCGATTAGAGAAAACGGCGGAAGTGACGAGATGGGCCGAGTGTCGCGGCAGGTGTCGTCGGTGCCAATTAATTGGACACGNCGGCAACTGCCTTTGAGTCACCTGAGCAGAAGTCCACGGTCTCATCAATGGACTTGATTAGTCCAATGAACGACGTTCGAGNTGCGTAGAGAATTACACGATGCACGCTTGTCACAAGGCGATTAGAGAAAACGGCGGAAGTGACGAGATGGGCCGAGTGTCGCGGCAGGTGTCGTCGGTGCCAATTAATTGGACACGGTCGGTAACCCAGGTCCGTGTCCAGGAGGTGCTGCCGCTCGTGGTCAGCGGACCAACCTGCCGTGACGTGAGGCTGAAGCCTCAACAGAGTACGAGAAAAAAGAAAAATTTTCCTTTTTTATTTATCAAAATCGGATGCTTCATTCAGAAGTAATGATTTTTTGAAAATTTCAAGTTTCGTAATGATTATCTCAGAAACAAAAAGTGGCAGGACAATGAAATTTTGCATAATCACTGGGTATATGTACTAGTTCAAAATGCACCTACNTCTTCGACTGCAACTCCGTGACCGAGAGCTCTTTCACTGCCGCTGACAATGATTCCGTATAGAGAGACTCAATAAACTTTGCCCTACTGGCTTGAATAAATATTCTCCCTGCGAAAGACATGCTCACCCGATAGCAAATACAAATTCAGCAAGCAGAGAAAGCACCAAACAAAAAAAATCGTAGAGAACGCAACAGTGGNTGTGCGGTAACTACAAAGCAATAACAAGAAGACGCAGATATCTTTAAGGCAACATAAATCACTGGAGTCTAAGAGGGCCACTAGGTTATCTTCCGGGGAGCAACTAGACTGGAACCAAGGATAGATGTAGTGCTCACGTATGTGGGTATAGGCAGTACAACGAAGAAATAGGTGGTCTAGTGTTTTAAGTTCACCCCTCCTGTACCTGGGACAGATTTTTGAGGGATCAAATCTGTGAAGCTCCTTCTTTAGTATGAGTCTGGTAGCAAACACTGAGGCCAGCCTGATCTGCATCTTGGCTCTAACCAGGTGGATAGGGCAACGCTCAGGATAGTGACTGATGAAACTGTCTTCTGGGTATCTTGGCAAAATGAATACCAGGGCCGTGGATTCCTATCTACGTAAATCCGCTTCCCTGAGAGAGCATGAGAGGTCATTCAGAATCTGCGGCAGAGGCAGCTCCCAGTCAGCCCAGTCAGCAGAGCTCCATAGGTCCTTGCTTATGTATCCCCTGGATACCATGTCAAGTTGTTCGAGCCAGTTATATTTAGCATTGGATGAAGCCGATTTTTTTAGTGCTAGCAGTCTAGCGAAGCAGATTCGTGGGAGACGATCAGACGACATTTGCAGAATTTTTATTATCCAGTTGAGAGCTGCTTTGATTATGGCTATGGTGACATCATTGATCCCAAGTTCAAGCCGCACAGCGTAACCAGGGGTGCATTTAGCTAGCTGGTAGAGTCTTTTCAAGAAGGTCAGTTGAACTGTTTCAAAGTCCATAGTGTAACGGAGGCCGTATAGGTGAGTGCTGTACAGGAGAACTGAGGAGGCAAGACTGTTGTAAAGACTCCAGGTACTGGATCAGAAGTCCGCTCTTGCTGAGGTGAGGATGGACATGACAGGGCCCGCTGCAGCCTTAGCCTTTCTGCACACTTCCTTGGTGGCGAGGAAACCGACACCAGAGCTGGAGAAGCTTACACCAAGATAGGTGTAATTTTCCATCACATCTACCTTCTGGTCATTAAGATGGAGATTGGTTACTGACTGGGGTATAAGTCCACCCTTCCTGAAGACCACAATCTTAGTTTTTTGTACATTAATTGTAAGACCCTTGAAGTTGCAGTATTCCTGGAGAATGCCAAGCTTCCTCTTCAGATCCACTGGCATGTCGGCCAGTATTGCAAGATCATCAGCATATAGGAGAAGAACGAGGTCGACTGTGGCATCTAGATCAATCCCCTTGACCCCTTTTCTTCTGAAGAAGCCTACAATGTCTGCCAGATAGAGAATGAATAAGAGGAGGCTGAGAATTTCCCCCTGGAGTACACCCTCGCTGACATCAGCTCGATCGGAGAGGCCAGAATTAGTTCTCACTTGGATACAGGCCGGATTATAGAACTTCATGAGGATGCGCAGGATCTTTGGGCCCATACCCAGGCTATATGAGTGCGTCCAAAGCTTTTCATGCGGTACGGAATCGAACGCTCTCTTGAAGTCTATAAATATTGCATATAGTTTTCCACCTTTGAGACGAAGCTTCAAGTTTATAGCGGACTGGAGGATAAATATATTATCTGCAGATCCTCTGGGATGAGATTCTCGGTTGTGGCCCAGCTGTAAAGTCTATCTTTCAGGATCTGAGTGAATATCTTGGCCCCAGAGTTGACGAGGGCGATAACCCTGTAATTAAAGGGGTCCGTGTGTGGACCCTTTTTGTGAATCATAAAGAGGATGGATTGAGCCCAGGCACTGGGAAAATCTTCCACTGTCAAGATCTTATTGAACAATCCCAGCAGGTTAAGCAACCATGTTCTGGGGAGTGCCTTGTAGAATTCGTTGGTTACCTGGTCGATACCTGGAGCCTTCCCCAGCTTGAAGCGTGTGATGGCTGATGAGAGCTCCTTCAGGCATATGTCCCGACCCAAGCGTGGGGCGAAGACTCCAAAGAAGGTAAGGTCCGAAAGACGACGAGGTAGATAAACTTTCTTCAAGAATGTTGACCAATCTGCGGGTGTTAAGTACTCAATCAAAGGGAAGCGAGGCTTGCACAGCTTCACTATGGCCCAGAACTGACAGGGTTTGCATAGATTTGCGAATTTTTCAGTATGTCCAGGAAGTAGAGTTCTTCTTTCCGCTTTTTCAGAAGTTCATATTCCTTATCCAACTGTGTGTAGGCATTCAGTTTCTCATGATCATAATTCTTGCGCCTCAGTGCCTGCAGAGCAGCACAGATCCTTTTCCTCATGTCTTGGCATTCCGTGTCAAACCAGGGTTTGTGAGTCCTGGGTTGATGGTTTTTTGTTGTGGCTATGTTGACGTCTTGAGCAGCCTCAGTAACAACAGCAGGAAAATTACTCGTTAGAGAGTTGATGTGCGCGTCTTCGAAATTCTGGAAAATTCTGCTGGATGAGGAGAGGGCCGGCTGGAAACGTTGCCCTAGATGCCCTTTCCAACGAAGAATTCTACTAGCTGGGGGGCTAGGAGAGCCGGCATATGGCGATGTGCTGCTAAAGGTAAAGAGCTCCAATGTTACTGGAAAGTGGTCTGATTCAGCCTTGTAATCATCAACTTGAATATCTTTGATGAGATCCAGGTTGGCAGCATCCACGAAGACCAAGTCAATAGTCATCCATCTGCCGCTACTCACATGAGTGTAATGTGCTGGATGGTCGCTGGGGGAGCGCCCATTGATGAGCACCAAGCCATTTTCGTCCATAAATTTCAGTAGAAGTTCACCTCGCCATTGATGGATGACATCATGAGATTTTCTGTTGCGATGAAGCAGAGATTGGTCAAAAGAGTCAACTGGAGCGGAGTCGAGGGCTCCAACGTGGCATTGAAGTCCCCACCTAGGACGAGACAGTTTTCTGGAAATCTCATTTGGATTTCGTCTAAAATACCCTGGAACTCAGCAAGTACCGACTCTAGTTTGTCATCCTGGTTTATATATAAAGAGCCTACTACAGTATTCCAGCCTGCACAGAAAATCCGAGAAATCAGCCACCATCTTGGGCAGTAAATTAATTCAGCAGTGTATTTATTTGTTATTGATGTGAGCAGGCTAGCACTAGCTCGTCCTCTTGAGTGAAATTTTTCTGGGGGGCTGCAGAAGTTCTGTTGGATGCGGAAAAAATTTGGCAAAGGGAGCGTAGATGGTGATTCAGAAGTGCAATGAGTCTCAGAGAGGCAGCAAATGTCCACACAGGGTAGAGCTGGCTTGATTGAAGCGTGCTTGATGCCTTGACAGTTCCAGGAGACGACTTTGCATGTAGTTAGTTTTTTTGAAACGTATTGGAAGTGCTAGTTGCGCCAGAATTGGATCTCGGCCCTCGAGATGGTGAGCGTGAGGCTTGTGGTACTAGGGAATCCTGGGTCGAGCTCCATACATACCATACCCCATCTATTTGGATCTTATTGTAATCGATTTTGACTTTGTGGCCTTGTGCACGTTTCTCCCTGGCAATGGCCTTCATCTTGGAGTAAATCTCCTGCTCATTCTTGGACAGATCCGGCTCAATAAATATTTTAGTGTCGCGGAGTTTACTTTTAGAACTCATGATGTCTTTCCTCAGTGGAATACTAGCTAACTTGACTAAAATCAATGTGGAGGGGCTTCTGCCTAGCTCTCTAACCTCCACAATACCCTCAGCGACATCAAAGTACTTTTTTAGAAAGGCCTGAGTCTCAGAAAGAACATTGTTCGATTCCCTGGGTAATCCTTTGATAATGATGTTGCTCCTCCTAAATGAGCGTTCTTGCTGGTCCAGTCTCCATTCCAGGTCATTCAGGATTTTCTGTTGGGCCTTGTCGAGGGAGCTAGGGGGTTGACAGGGAGCCTTGAGGGCAATCTTTTTTGAAAGATCTTCGTATTTCGAGTCCATTTCTTTTTTCAGCGTATCCAGTTTTTCGGTGGTTTTCAGTGATTCACCCTGCATTTCACGACGAAGCTTTTCGAATTCCAGTTTATTGCTCTCATGAAAGCTCGACAATTTTTGTTCCATGGAAGCTTGTTGTTCTTTCATCTGCACTTGAATCTGCGCGAGTTGCGCCATCAGCATCTGGAATTGTTCCTTCGGGTCATCTGGGGGAGGGTCGGCAATTGAAGGGTCGGGCATTGTTGTAGGAAAGGAAGATGGGAGGGAGGTAGGGAGATTTTTGGGCACGGGACGGGTTTGGTCGCTGGGAGTTAAGGTGAAAAGGCGGCGGTTGGAACGCTTGGTGCCAGATTTTCTTGGTGACGAATCGAGATCAAGTTCTTCTTGCACTTCCTCTCCCCTCTTGCGTTTCAGGAAATCTTTCAGAGTACTGTCAGAAAAACTTCTGTTGCGACCGAGGGGAGCTTCTTTTAAGGGTCTGCCAGGTTTCATGGCGAAGCTGGACTTAGCTGACGAAGAGAATGATGAAAAAAAAGAGGAAGATGAAGAGTCCTCTCCTTTGAAGCTGGAGCTAGGCGTGGGAACGGCGGAATTTGTTTTATCGATAGGTGTGCTGTATCCATTCGGCAGGATGCTGCTCGTTTCGGTGCAGGTCACAACGATAGCCGGAGGCGGTCTACTCGGAATTGTGTCGTCCAGCTGATGGTAATTGCAGGGATCTGTCTCATCGGTGTTGATTGGCTCCATGTGAGGCTTTATAACCTCAATATAGACACATTGCCAGCTCGGTTTAAAGCAAAATTATCAGATAAACTCATGCCTGCAGTTGGTAATTAATTATTTAAAACTCACGTGGGACTCCACGGAATTAGCTGTCAGGGCCAGAATTAAGCAAATCAACTTGAAAAATTGAATAATGAAAAAAATTGGCGGGACACCCAAATGCACGTACAGGTAGCAACTTTGCCCGGAACAGAACCCCTTAAACCGTTACATAAACATTTTAAGGTCTGAATAGATTCTCCTAGACCCTTGGGCCGAACATTCCGGAGGGTTCCTTGTAAACAATGAAAAGAGGTGACAATAATTTTCCATCAGCAGATATCGTGGGTTGTATCGTATAACTGTGTTTCGTTGATGTTATAGATTGTACAATGCACGAGACTTCTTTAGACCCCTTGTCTGCCAAAGTTCGCCCCGAATGCGTTTCCAATTCAAAACCACTTTGATCAGAATTATAGATGTTTTGGGAGCCATACATTTCAAAATATGGTTTGATTTTTTGCATGAATTCATCCGCTGGTTTTTGTAAATCTTCTTGATTTTCCATTGTTTTACGCATCACGAATTTAGTAATCTTGCGAGATGTGATACGATGAGATCTTTTGAAGTAATGCAGCCACCACGGGGAGGCCTTGAAACGAATATCCTCATTTCCAATATCTTTCTGCCTTGGAGAGCCCATATTCGTAGGTCTGCATCATGAACAATTAACCCCGCATCAATAGCATTCTTCATATTTTTCAATGTCTACTCTGATATACGCTTTAACATCTCCATATAAGTTCCTCCTTTATTGACTTGATGCCCCAAGCGACGTAATTGTTGGACGAATTTCACTTTTTTGAATCTATTGGAAACGGTTTTTATAGACAGATTTTNAATCCGGGCTTCTCTTCCAGATTTGCTGACGGATCCAGTTTGGGATTCTCTTTTGGCCACTGAGAGGAGTCTAACTGCAGCCACCTTGGACCCGTCCAGCACAGCTTATGAGCACTGAGTTGAGCCACAGTGATGCCCCGAGAAGCACAATCAGCAGGATTCTCCTTACCGCTGATGTACCGCCATTTTGCTCCTACCACCAGCTCCTGTATGCTGGCTACCCTATTGTGCACGTATTCCTTC